AAAAATAGTAAAGGAAAGAATTCTTCCAAATTCATTTTATGAGGACAGCATGACGCTGATACCAAAACCAGACAAAGATGCTACAAAAAAAGAAAATTACAAACATGCCTGATGAAAATAGGTGTAAATATTGTCAACAAAATGTTAGCAAATTGAATTCAACAATACATGAAAAGGATATTTTCACCTCGATTAGGTGGAATTTATTCCAGGGATACAAAAATGGTTCAATATCCACAAATCACTGTGATACACCACATTAACAAAATGAAGAATAAAAATTATATGATCATCTCCATAGTTGCAAAAAAAAGTATTTGACAAAATTCAACATTTATGTTAGAAACTTTCAACAAAGTGGGTTTAAAGGGACCATACCACAACATAATAAAGACTATATAAGACCAACCCACGGCTAACATCATATTCAGTGGCAAAAAGTCTGAAAGCTTTTCCTCTAAGATCAGCAACAAGACAAGGATGTCCACTCTCACCACTCTTACTCAACATAATACTGGAGGTCTTACGCACAGCAATTAGACAACACAAAGACTTAAAGGGTATCCAAATTGGGAAGGAAGGAGTTAAACTATCACTATTTTCAGATGAAAATATAGAAAACCTTAAAGACTCCACCAAAAAACTATTAGCATGAATTCAATTAATGAATTCAGTAAAGTTGCAGGATACAAAGTCAATATACAGAAATCTGTTGGGTTTCTATCTACTAATAAAAAACTAGCAGAAAGAGAAATTAAGAAAACAATCCTATTTACAGTTGTACCAAAAATAATTAAATACCTAGGAAAATTTAACCAAGGAGGTAAAATATCTGTATTCTGAAATCTTTAAGACATTGATGAAAGAAATTGAAGGTGAAACAAATATCTGGAAAGATAAACCATGCTCAAAGATTGGAAGAATTAATATTGTTAAAATGTCCATACTACCTAAAACAATCTACAGGTTCAATTTAATAACTATCAAAATATCAATGGTATTTTTCAAAGAACTAGAAGAGATAGCCCTAAAATTTTTATGGAACCACAAAATACCCCAAACAACCAAAGTGATCTTGAGAAAGAACAAAGCTAGAGGTATTGTGTTCCCTGACTTCAAATTATACTGCAATGCTATAGTAATCAGAACATTATGGTACTTCAGGTAAATTCCCAGAAGTAGAATTACTGGGTCATATGGTATTTCTATTTTTAGTTTTTTAAGAAACCTCCATACTGCTTTTCAAAATATTATGTGCACTCTTATGTTTATTGCAGCATTATTTACAATAGCCCAAATATGGAAGCAACCTAAATGTCTATTGATAGATGAATGGATAAAGAAGATGTAGTACACACACACACACACACACACACACACACACACACACACACACACACGAGTAATATTACTCAGCCATCAAAAAGGATATCTTGCCATTTGCAAAAATGAGGATATTATGGTAAGTGAAATGAGACAGGCAGAAAAAAATCAAATACCATATAATTTCACTTATATGTGGAATCTAAAAAACCAACCAAACAAAACATAAATAGACTCATAAACACAGAGAACAGACTGGTGGTAGCCATAGGGAAGGAGGCAGGGGGGCTTAGTAGAACAGACAAAGCAGAAAAAAATAAGTGATGTTTGGTATCTTGATATGGGTGATGGTTACATGAGTGTATACACATATCAAAATTCATCAAGCCGTTCACTAAGATTTGTTGTTTTATTACATAATTTATATACCTCAATTTTAAAAAGCCATTACAGCACTGGCACAAAAACAGACACATAGATCAATGGATCAGAATAGAAAGCCTAGGTGTAAACTCAAGCTTTTATGGTCAATTAATCTATAATAAAGGAGGCAAGAATATACAGTGGGGAAAGACAGTCTCTTCAATAAGTGGTGGTGGAGAAATGGACAGCTACATGCAAAAGATGATACTGGACCAATGTCTCACATCAGACACAAAAATAAACTCTTAATGGATTATTTACCTGAAGAAAACAAAAACACTAATTCAAAAAGATGTATGCTACCCTGTTTATGAAGCATTATTTACAATAGCCAAGATAATAATGCAACAAGTGTCTACTGATAGACTGTCCATGGATAAATAAGGTGTGGTAATATGTAAAATGGATTAAACACTTAAATATAAGACCTGAAACCACAAAACTCCTAAAATAAAACATAGGCAGTAATCTGTTGGACAGCCTGACTATATTTTTGTGGATCTGCCTCCTCAGTCAAGGGAAACACAAGCAAAAATAAACAATTGGTACTAAATCAAACTGAAAAGCTTCCATGCAACAAAGGAGACTATCAGCACAATGAAAAAGTAACCTACTGAATAGGAGCAGATATTTGCAAATGATATGTCTGATAAGGGATTAATAGTCAAAGAATATAAAGAACTCATACAATTCAATACAAAAACAAAACAAAACAAATAATCTGATTAAAAAATGGACAGAGGACCTGAACAGGCATTTTCCCGAAGAAGACATACAGATGGCTGACAGACACATGAAAAGACACTCAACATCACTTATCATCAGAAAAATGAAAGTCAAAGCCACATGAGAACTACATTATGCCAGTCAGAATGGCTAGTATCAAAAAGACAAGAAATAAATGTTGGCAAAGATGTGGAGAAAAATGGAACCCTCCTGCACTGTTGGTAGGAATGTAAATTGGTACAGCCACTATGGAAAACGTATGGAGTTTCCTCAAAAAACTAAAAATAGAAATACCATAGAACACAGTAATTCCACTTGTAGGTATTTACCTGAAGAAAACAAAAATACTAATTCAAAAAGATGTACGCTCCCCTATGTTTATGAAGCATTATTTACAAAAGCCAAGATAATAAAGCAACTTAAGTGTCTGATAGATTGTCCATGGATAAATTAGATGTGGTAATATGTAACAATGGAATTATTACTCAGCCATGAAAAAGGACGAAATCTTTCTATTTGTGACAATATGGGTGGACCTGAGGATATTATGCTGAGTGAAATAAGACAGACACAAATACCATATGATTTCACTTATATGTGGAATCTAAAAACAAAACAAATGAACGAACAAAACAGAAATAGACTCATAAACACAGAGCACAAACTGGTGGTTGCCAGAGGGGAGTACAGGGATGGGTGGAGTAGGTGAAAGGAATTAAGAAGTACAAACTTCCAATTATAAAATAATGAAATCATGGGGATGAAAAGTACAGCATAGGAATACAATCAATTTGTAATAACTTTGTATGGTGACAGATGGTAACTACACTTATTGCGATAAGCATTTCATAATGCCAAATCGTTATGTTGTACACCTGAAACTCATATGATATTTTCGAGTTATACTTCAATTTAAACAGAAACAAAAAATCCAGTGAACAAGGAGTGTGAACAAGGCCAGGCCTAGCACCACACCTTTCAGGATCACAAGCCACCAAAAAACAACCAGGAAGAGCAAAGTCAGGCTCCAACACTGTCCCATGGCTGTTACACTAGGAAAGTGGTCATTGTGCTTTTTTTACTGTACCCTTAGCCCTCCTCATCCCCAATATATGTAAACTTATTTACAAAGCTTTTCTGTTAATTCATACATTAAACATCAGTGTTATGAGCAGAACTGTATTTCCCGAATTCATAGACTGAAGTCCTAATCCCCAGTAATTCAGAATATAGCTGTTTTGGAAACAGGCCTTTAAAGAGGTGATTAAGTAAAATGAGGTCATTAGGATGGGTCCTAATCTAATCTGACTGATGACCTCATCAGAGAAGAAATGTGGACATACACATGAACAGAGGGAAGACCATGTGAAGACACAGTGGAGAGGCCCAGAAATCAACCCTGCTAACACCTTTATCTTGGTAACTTTCTGTTGTTTAATCCATCCAGTCTGTGGTACTTTGTTACTGCAACCCTAGCAAGTAAGGCTTTTCTCCCTCTTTCTCTCTTTTTTGGAAAGATAAATGTAAGTAGGCCTTCCTAACATTTTCTTCTTTATCCCACTTTAAGGCGAGTATCATGGGCAGGTGTGAGGAACTTATAGCCTGGCTGGATTTTAGAATAGAGGCCTCACACCAGAGGAAACAAGGGGTCTGGTGGTCTCTGGATATCTCTCCCCTTTAGGGCCTGAGTCTATCTAGAACAATCAGAGAAGCACCCAGATGGGTAGGTTTGCCACAGACCAAGCCTCTTGTCCTGTGTCCCAGACTCACCTGATCATAAGATTCACCAAGTGCCTCAGTCCCACCTGGGAACTGTGAGGTGGGACCTAGAACTAGTTTTTGTTAAGCGGGGCAGGTGATTCTCAGGACCAGAAACTTAAGAAAAGCCATAGTCCAGGCCATTCCACACCAGGAAATGGGTCTGCAGCAGTAGAATGTGAGCGAGTGTATGTTACCGGGTCATGTGTTAGCATCCCTCGCAGCAGAGGGAGGGTGAGGACCTACTGGCCCCGCCTCTCAGCCCCATCCCCGCACTAGCATCTCTAGCCTGGCCCGCTCCTCTGCCCGGACCTCTGCTGAAGGCAACCTGTCTGCAGCTTCAGTCATTTTGGTATTTGCCCATTAGTTTTGCGCCCTGTGTTCTTTCTTTGAATCAACAGGCGGGTGGAAATAATGTCCTCTGCTTCCCTCCCGAGGAACTTTGCAGAGTCCCAGATTCCCTTGTTTTTTTCCTGGGTGTGGCCTGCCGGAGACTTTCTCTCAGGCTCTGGGCCCTTAAGTGAAACCCAGGTTCTCCACTCCCTGCTCAGCGGAACCAGAGGTGGGGCTGAGGCTGAGAGGTGCCGCTGCGGGGGGCACGGCTAGCGCCTCCAGGGTCTGTGCGCGGGGCGCAGTGGGGCACCCGGTGTGCTTGTCGCGGGGACTGCCGCCCGCCCTCGAGTCTGCGCGCCCCAGCTGACTTCAGGCTCCTTACGAACCCCCGGGGATCCGCTCCACCTCCGACCCCCGCCCGGCTGCGCCCAGCTCACCCAGGCCGGCAGGTGCTGGCCCCGCAGCTCGCGGCTGATAAACTGGCGTTCGTTGTCTAGGAATTCGAAGGCGGCCTCCAGGCGGCCGAGCTTCCCGCGGCGGTTCCTGCGCCACCACATCCACAGTAGGGCACCGAGCAGCAGCCAGGTTATGCTGAGCCCCAGGTAGCCGGCTAGGTAGACTGGCGCCAGGTAGAACAGCACGCGCGCCACGAAGGTATAGAACTCGGGCAGCAGCTGGCTGGACAGGCGCGGCTTGGGTCTGGGTGCGCGCTGGTTTCCCTGGGCACCAGGGGCGCACGGCTCCCCTGCCTGCATCTCGTCGCCGCCGTCTTGCCCTTTCCAAGAGGCTTCAGCTGAGCTCGGATCAACGCACTTTAATGCCGGGGCACATCAGGCCTCCAAGCCCAAGGACCTTGCCGCCGCGTCGCACCCGCCCTGGCGGAAGGAGCCCGCGCTCCGCGCTCGGCGTTTTCGCAGCGCACTGTGGCGCAAGGCTGCGACGCTCTGCGCGGTGACTGCGCTCCTCTCCCAGCCCGGGTAGTCGCTCCCGGTGTCTCCGCCCCCAGGGGCGGGCCCAGGCGGGAGGGGCGGGGTCAGGCCGAGGGCCGGCGCTGGCCGGGTTCTGAAGCGGAGCGGGCTACTCGCACCCCAGCGTGCGGCGCCGGCGTCAGCGGAAGGCGCAGTCGCAAAGCCCGGGTAGAGTTCGGAATGGACAGCGTACTGCCTGCCGTAGGCGGTTTGTGACTCACCGAGGTATGTGACAAATGGCTTGTCATGGATAAACATCATATAAAACCTGTTTCCCACACCCAGTCTCCAGTATGCAGTCTAGTAGGCTCTTAGCTGGGCCACCGTCTGCCTCGCCGCGCCTCCACAGCCCGGGCTGGGCCTGACCCTGTGTCTGAGCCTCCAGCCTGGCCCTTGGAGCCCTGCCTTCTCCTCTGGCATCTTTAAAGGTTAGACCTATCCCCCAGCCCAACCTGGCCGAGGTCAGGGTCCCCCTTGTGCCCCTCAGCAGTGCCCCACACTTCCCACCCTCTGTGCAGAGTGTCAGTTTGGCTCAGTCCCCTGGGTCACCAGTTTCCAGGGGTCAGGCCACTCCTGCTAGTCTGTGGGGCGCCCAGCACAGCAAGTGATGGGTGAATGCAAGGGAAATGAAGAGCAAGCCCTGAGGGTTTGGGGGTCAGTTGTGAAGCTCAGGTTTCTCTCTCATCCTTTCTGAATGATCAGAACAAATGGAGTCACAATTTTCAAATTCAGACGGTAAATTCATCTTGTGGATGGCATATATTTAAGGTGGCTCACATGAGTGGTTGCATCAATTGCTGGAATGATTTCAGAGTTGATAAATGTACTGGAATGAATCTAAATGATTCCATACTCTTTCAGTAATTTTATTGAAAGCCTGGACCTGATGGACAGCAATCTGAAGATAACTCTATTTTCCTTCCCTCTGTCCCTTCAGGTATCTCCCTCTCTTTGGCTTTCTCTCCTGGATAAACCTACTTTGTGTAAAAAGTGTTATTTAACAATAGGCATGATCCTGGTGGTCAGAAGAGCTAGACACTCCTCTGTTCTCAGCCTTCCAGGACTCAGCCAAAATGGAAGATGAAAGCCTCCCAGCTTAACATTCTATTACGTTATTTCCCAGTGTAGCCTGGCAATCTATGTAGTAAATGCAGCTCACTTGAGTTCCTTTCAGGGGAGTTCCTTTTTGGATGTACACAACCCTATCAAAGGCACTGAGAAGTCCTGTAGATACAGGAGTGTTAAATTTTATTTAACCCACTGTTTCCCAAATTATTCAACCACAAAATTCCTTTCCTCAAAATACTTCTCTATTGGTTGATCCAACTCAGCTTAAGCTGAAGAAATGAAAATGTGTGATGGGTATATAGGGAAATGTCCTGGAACCTGAGCAGAAATGTGGCTGGCTCTCAGGACAGAGGGGACAGGAATTTGTTGACTCAACTCTGCATCTCTCTTGCTGTCCCTGCTGACCTGCCTCCTCTACCTCTGGCTGATGTGGAGAACACACACCTTCCCCACAGCTTCCGGGGTTGCAGAACTTCCCCAGAGAATGATTGGTCCTTATCCTGTCCCAATTCCAAATGCCTGCAGAGAGGACCCAATTGTATCCATCACTTCCTCCCCTCTTCATACACACCAGGTCCACGCCACATTCCCTTCTTGGGTTAGGATGTTTGGGGAGGGTGTGGAAGGTAGGGTGTTTGCGGGAGGAGTACCAGAGAAAGGAAGATTGTTGGTTTGTGAGCTGGACGGACACCCACGGAGATGTTCAGCGTGAGGCCTGGAACATCCACAGAGCATTGCCAGCCACCGCTGCACTGCCTCCTCTGCTCCTTAAACACACCAAGGTCATTATGCCTCAGGCTTGTGTACTTGCTGTTCCTTCTACCTGGCATGTTCCCCTCCTAAGTTTTCCCCCAAGTACATTAGGTTAGTGGGATTACAATTGATTTGCTTTTCTAAACTTTGTTTATAATCTCATTAAATTGCTTCCATAAATTGAATCTGTGCCGAGGACATTGGAGCCATTGATTCCCTTGGATACTCTAGTTACTACAGCCAGCAAAAGACATTTTATGCACCATTTGATAATGGCAAACCTGGGGAGAATGCCTTCCAGAGACTTTGTCTGAACTCATGGAAGAGTTCATCATATTATACTAGTTTTTTCAGAGAATGCCAGCTCATTTGTTCAATACATTTATTAGCTACTATTGTGGGTTGAATTGTGTTCCCCACCACCACCTGCCCACCCAAAATATGTTGAAGTCCTAGCCTCTGTTACCTGTGAATCATATTTGGAAATAGGGTCTTGATAGATGTAGTAAGTTAAGATGAGATCATACTGGATTAGGGTGGATCCCAAGCCTTATGACTGGTTCTTATAGAAAGAGAGATTTGGAGACACACACAGAGGAGATACACAAAGGAAAGAAGCCATGTGGAGACAGAAGTAGAAACTGGAGAGTGATGCAGCTACAAGCCAAGGACTGCCACAGATTGCTGGCGACCACCAGAGCCAGGAAGAGACAAGGAAGGGTTCTTCCTAAGCACCTTTGGAGAAAGCGTGGTCCTGCCAACTCCCCGACTTCAGGCTGCTATTCTCCAGGGCAGTGCAGGAATAACCTGTTGTTTTAAACCACTCAATTTGTGGTATGTTGTTATGGAAGCTCTTGGAAACTAATACGACCACCTATTAATTTCCAGGCACTTCTTTAGGCCCAGGAGATTCAGGGTGAATAGAATAGACAGGATCCCTGTTCTCATGGAGCTGATGTTAGAGTGAGGAGAGACGATAGCAACCAAATAGAGAACAAAAAACAGCATGTAAAGAGAAGTGCTATGAAGACAATGCAGTAGGTAGTATGAGAAAGAATGACTGGTGTCGGGTGAGGGCTGTGTTCCCCGGGGTGATTTGGAAAGGGCTGAGAAGGTGACATTTGTGTTGAGACCTAAATAAAAAAGAAGACTAAAAGCAAATATACAATTTCATCTTTTAAAATAACATCTCGTACGCACACCACTCTCTTTGTAATAGAAAGATAAATAGTCCCCGCTGTGGAGATGTCATTGGTTTTCCTCTGCATTTCCATATGGGGCTAGAGTAATTTTCTTTTGTGAATGCCCATCAGACTGGGAATTCCTTGAGGGCAGCAGCCATATCAGATACATCGCATGTCCTCAGTGTCCAGCACAGCATGACATACAGGAAGGCGGCAAGAGCACCGCTTAAGAGCATGGGCTTTCTAATTGGTTTGCCTGAGTTGAAATCTAGACTTTAGAACTTCCTGACTTTGGGAAAGTTCCTTAACTTCCCTTCATTTCACTTTCTACATCTGTAAATGGAGATCGTAGTAATACTTACACCATGTGGTGGTTGTGAGGGTTAAGTGAAACACACTGTGTGTAAAGCTGCATATCCAGATGGGGAAGTTGCCAAGGAAGATTGTAGTTTTGTTTGTATTTTTGACTTTTTACAGCAAAAATGTATTTGTGTATTATCTGTATAATTTTAAAAATGTTGTGATAAAATACACATAACATGATATTTACTATCGTAGCCATTCTAAGTGCACAGTTAAGTGGCACTAAGTTCATTCGCATTGTTGGACGGTCGTCACACCGTTCATCTCCAGAGCTCTGACTGTCCTGCCTCGCACCTTCTTTCAGTATCTTCCCTTCTAACCCCTCTGCTCCACCTTAACTGACTCCAATGTCCAATCCTGCAACTCTTGACACTCACAAATTAATAACTTCATTTACCAAAAGTAAATGAAACCAAAAGTCTTTCTTTTTTCCCTGTGGTAAAATATACATAACATAAAGTTACCATTTTAACCATTTTTAAGTGTACAGTCAGTGACATTAAGTACGTTCACTCGATTGAGCAACCACCACACCATCCATTTCCAGACTTTTTTCATCATCCCAAGCTAAAACTCTGCACCCCTTAAACAGTAACTCCTATCCCACTGCCGCACGGTGAGAAAGGGGTGCTCCTCTCTGTCCTCACTCTCTGGTGGCAAACGAGCAGGAGGTCCTGCTGCACCTCTCCGTGTTGACGGCGGTCCTGCTTCCAGCCTCTCAGCTCCAACTCACCAATTCTGTATTTCACATGACATTGCTTTAATCATTATAGGGCCTTAAGATTTTCTTTCTTTTCTTAATCAGCTGTTTTCAAAGTGAATTGTGAGGTGGTTTTAAAGTAAATTTTCAATTTGTCCTAAGATTTTTCATATATTGGCATAGAGGTATTTATAATCCTTTTGTTCTTTCAATTGTCTGTAGGATCTGTAGTGATACTCCTTTTAAATTCTTGTTATAGTACTTTATGTTTTCTTTCATCCCCTTTATCAGTCTTAATAGGAATTTATCAATTTTACTAATTTTTTCAAATAGCCAACTTTTGGCTTCAATTATTTTCTTTATTGTATGTCTACTTATCTCAGTGATTCTGCTTCTGTATTTCTTTTCTTTTACTTTCTTTGAGTTTACTTTGCTGGGTTTTTTTCTTTTAGCTTCTTGAGATAGAAATTAAGATAATCAATTTTCAACCTCTTTTTTTTTCTGTTGTTCCTGTATTTTTTTATTTTGGTATGGTTAATATACAATCACTTGAACAACACTATGGTCAGTAGACTCCCCCCATTATCAAGTCCCCCCCACATACCCCAGTACAGTCACTGTCCATCAGCATAGTAAGATGCTATAGAATCACTACTTGTCTTCTTCGTATTTCCTGCCTTTCCTGTGTCCCCCCCACCCCCTGCTACATTATGTGTGCTAATCGTAATGTGCCTTTTTCCCCCTTATCCCTCCCTTCCCACCCATCCTCCCCAGTCCCTTTCCCTTTGGTAACTATTACTCCATTCTTGGGTTCTGTGAGTCTGCTGCTGTTTTGTTCCTTCAGTTTTTTCTTTGTTCTTATACTCCACAGAAGAGTGAAATCATTTGATACTTGTCTTTCTCCACCTGGCTTATTTCACTG